ATCTTGGTTTATAAACATTATTCTTTAATGAAAGGAATCAGCTCTGCTAAAAGTGGTTGATTACAGGGCTAAAAGTGGTTGATTACAGGTCAGGGAAAATTCAAGATAAGCCTGGAACTCTGATGGTGCCAGACAAGCCTTGTTGAAGGAATACAAGAGCCAGTCTGAAGAAGCACTACTGACCTAAGCTGCAACAATTTGAGTAAGAAGATGATGATAGTATTGGGTTAGACCCCATAGAATACAATAATTATTTATCAGTCCATACTGATATACACATATATTCATCTAATTAACTAACTAGAGGAGAAGAGAAAGCTCTTCCTCACAATTAATGGAATTCCAATTAATAGGTATCAGAGAAAAGAGGGAAACAGAATTATCACTAGGCAAACACCACACTAATAAATATTGCAGGCAAGGATCCACTGATAGATGCTATAATTAGTAGGTGGAAGTTTGAGGAGAGATAGCATTGTGTCACCCAAATGCCAGGGGTTTGGTCAGGGTCCTATTGCTTGCTGCACAGAAAGCCCATCACTGAGACAGTGAATACTGCCAGGAAAAAAGTCCTTTTATTTGGGTGATATCAGCCAAGGACCATGTGATTCTTTATTAAATCCATCTCTCTGTCCCACTAAAGTCAAGGGTTTATATAGTAAGACAAGAATGTAGAAAACAGGAATTAGGGAGGGGTCCGGAAGAGAAGTCGTTAAATAAGAGGTGTATCTCATCTCGTTGTCTGGATGTGGTGATCTGGTGAGTTTCAGGTCTTTGATACAATAGTCCTAAAGGTTGAGTTTCTGAGAAAGGAACTCAGATAAGACAAATCTGTTTCAAACATTTTTTTTGAGGTAGTGTTTCACTTTGTCACCCATACTGGAATGGGTCGATCATGGCTCATCATAGCCTTGACCTCCTGGGCTCAGGCAATCTTTCCACCTCAGGTTCCCAAGTAACACCATTCCTGTCTAATTTTTTAAAAAATTTATTGTAGAGATGAGGTCTTGCCCAGATGTTGCCCAGGCTGGTCTCCAGCTCCTGAGCTCAGGCATCTTCTCACCTTGGCCTCTCAAAGTGCTGAGATTGCAGGTGTGAACCACTGTGCCCAGCCAAATTTTTGATTTTTTTTTTTTTTTTTTTGAGTTGAAATCTTGCTGTTTGTCACCCAGAGACAGGGTCTTGTAGAGACAGGTCTTGCTATGTTGGCCAGGCTGGTCTTGAACTCCTGGGCTCAAACAATTCTCTCTCCTTGTTCTCCCAAAGTGCTGGCATTACAGGTATGAGCCACTGTGCCTGGCCTTAAGTTTCAAGCTTTGAGACCAAAAGGGTCAATTTTTAAGTTTTTTTTTTTCTTAAAAGCTATAGTAATTTATTATATGGGAAAGTTGAGTCAGTTTCAGTTGCATAGTCCCCAAGTATCTCCCCAAGCTAGTTACCAGCTTACTGAAGAAAAGTAATGTTTATAGGAAAGACACTCTTCAGATACCACTTTAACTGAATGATCAAGTTAAATATCATCAGTAATAACACATATGGATATCATGAATTTCTTGATAGTGTGCATTGAGAAGGGCACAGCATATTTTTTGTGGTATTACCAAAAATGCATAATTTTATATCAGTCCATAAGAAGATTTTGGAGAAACCCAGATGGAGGAAAAGTCTATGAAATAATCGATCAGTACTCTTCAGAAGTGTCAAGATCATGAATGATAACAAAAGACTGAGGAACTGTTACAAACTGGTGGACTCTAAAGAAGAGCAATAACAACTAAATTTAATGTGAAATCCTGGGTCAGATCCTACATAGAAAAAAGGTATCGGCCGGGCTCGGTGGCTCAGCCTGTAATCTCAGCGCTTTGGGAGGCTGAGGTGAGTGGATTGCCTGAGCCCGCGGGTTTGAGACCCGCTTGGGCAACTTGGGGAGACCTCATCTCTACAATAAATCAAAAATTAGCCGGGCATGGTAGCGCACACCTGTAGTTCCAGCTACTCGGAAGGCTGAGGTGGAAGGATCGCCGGAGCCCAGCAGGTCGAGGCTGCAGTGGCCGGGAGCGGCCACTGCACTCCAGTCTGGGCGACAGAGTGAGACTCCAACTCCAAAAAACCCCCCCAAAACCACAAAAGAGTGTATGGTTTTGGCCAGTTGAAGTCAGTCAGCTTTTAAATTTTGGGATGTCTTAAAATACTTATGTTTAATCTTTTATTATAAATATTTGAAGTTGCCACATCTTGGAAATCATATATACAGAGGGTGCTAAAAGATGTATACACATTTTAAGAAAGAAAAAAACTGTATTAAAATTGTAATGTTCAATAAGAGGAACACAAGTCATATTTGACTTGTGCAATTACAAAAGGTGCTCAAAGTGTATGCTTTTGCCATCAGCATCCAAACACTTCTGATTATGGCAAACAACTTCTAGTATCTCTTAAATTGTGTATACATTTTTTTGGTACCCCTGGTATATGTGAATCAATTTTAAGTGAAATCATATTTTATAGATGTTGATACAATAGAAGGGTAAGGAGTATTTTGAAATAATGAAAATAATGTATGCAAATTCTGAGATTTGGGAGAGAAATGTAGATGCCTCTGGTTTTAAGACTGATTTAGATTCAGGTAATAGTTTAGTAATTTCATAAAAATCTTGTTACCTAATTTTGAATGGGGACTATCTCATGAAACCCCTAGGGCATTTCAGGTTTTGTAGAACCTTGTGAAAAACCTTGAGCTAATTAGATAACTTTTAGTAGTCACTTCATATTCTTTTTTTGTCTACTTACACAGAAATTTATGTTGCCTTATTTTTAATACGTTAGTAGCTAAATAAAGTCTATTCTAAAATTTTGTGTTTGATTTAAGGAAATGGTTATCAGTTGGCACTTTGAGTATTGCAATTGTTTTTCTTCTGAAATAATAAACTAACCGATTTGGTTAGTTTGATTTTGCAAGTAGTTATGACTCATGAGAGCATTTTTACTTCTGATCAATGTATTGTGCTTTTTGAAAAGTCTTCTAGTTTTTCCTCATTGTAGTAAGGTATATTATATATTTTACAAACTTAGTCCTGATAATGTGACAGGATATACATTTATCTTAAATGTTGTTAAATTAATTTTTTTTTTTTTGAGTTGGAATCTCACTCTGTTGCCTAGGCTGGAGTGCAGTGGCATGCTCATGGCCACCACAGCCTTGACCTGCTGGGCTCATGTGATCCTTCTGCTTCAGCCTTTCAAGTAGCTGGAGCCACAGGTGTGCACCACCATGCCTGGCTACTTTTTTCGATTTATTGTAGAGATGAGGTCTCGCCAGGTTGCCCAGTCTGGTCTCAAACCCATGGGCTCAGGCAATCCTCTCATCTCAGCCTCCCAAAGTGCTGGGATTATAGGCTTGAGCCACCATGCCTTGCCCTGTTCATCTTTTATACTGTGTTTTCTCTTATGCTTATTATCTTTGTTAGTAGTATCACCCTTGTTTTATAAAATTCATTTAGGAATTGAGTAAATTTAATTCAAATAAGTTTTATGTATTAGATTCTAAAAAATTTAAAACATATTTTCATTTATCTGTTTAGCTATGCTAGAAAACTTGGTGTCAACTTGAATTTTTCTTTTATTCTCCATATCTAGTTCGTTTCCTAGATTCTACCTTTGAACTATTTGATGAATCTACTCCCCCTTTACCTTCATGCAGACTTTTCTGGCTGCTAACGCTTACCATCTCTACCTGGATGTGTCATTAGCTTCCTAAATGTCCTTCCTACTCTCTTTTCTGTGAAACTTAATTTCTCCACATTAGAGAGTCTATAAAGTTGGAAGGGATGCATTACATCTTAATTTTTAATGATTACTAACTAAAGTTCGGCATTTCCCTCCATTATGAATAAAGCAACAATCCACAGTAATATTAGCACTATTTGTGACTTCATCACCAGTGGAAATCACATATATTTCCATTTCATATGACAGTTGTTAAAAGTAACTGGAATATCATTTATGCCCATCACTACTTTGAAATTATAGTAGTTGTTACTCTGCTATATCTTGTTATTGAATGTATTGATGTATTAATGAGGCACATATGTTATTTCACTGTTTAAAAAGTATTTCGAGGCCTTATTTCTCTTCCCTTCAAGGGAAATTAAAATGTAATCAGCAAAACTCATCAACCTCTACATTTAAAATGTGTACATTTTATTGTATGTAAAATTTACCTTAATAAAACATAACAGATTTTGATAAAGAGAAAAACATTTAAAAGACATCTGACTGAAGAATTAAATAACCTAATCAACAACCAAAAAAATTACAGTATAGCACATGCTCAAATGTCAAATGAGTGTTAGTGAGAAAAAGCTCTGTGAACTCAGGGGAAGAGGAAGCATTGTGAGCCTGTAATGGTTGTCTTTCTATGTGATTCTTGGATGAGAATGGCATGGCATTGCAGTTGGAAAGCCATGAGGACAGGGGCCTATCTGTTGGGAACAGTAAGGCATGCTCAGGGAAAGAGCCAGTGACAGGGCCTCACCATGGGAAAGAGTAAGACATGCCTAGGGCGAGAGCCGGTGAGGCTATTCCTAATGTATTTCTTCTATGAAGTGCTGAGGAACTTGAGGAAGGATGGCATAGGTTGAGGTAGTTGGGAAGGCAGAATCAGATCAGACTCCAGGGATTGGAGAACCTATGTGGAGTAAGAAAATAACAGAAATTTTGTTTGGTTAATTGATTGAAAAATTATATTAAAAGACAAATAAGGGAACAGTGAGTTTTTAGGAGATGGTAAATAATTCCATTTCCATTGGTTAAAAATATCAAGTTTTATTTTGAATCTAAACTGATTCAAGAATAAGCTATACGTTTTAGAAAAGTGAAATCATGTTTTATGTCTAATATCACTTTCTAATATAAAATACTGTTTTAAGAAAATATTGTGCTGTCAAGAAAAATACAGTGTTGTAATATTTTGTCTGTGTATGTATTTTTTTCTTCCTTAGATTCCAGTATAGTTAGTGATGTTGTGCTTCAAGACTTACTGGCGTATGTGTCTTCAAAACATTCCTATCTCAGAGATCTTCCTCAGAGGCAGCCTCAGAGAGTAAACAGTATAGAGTTTGCAGAATTGGAGCAACTTCAGCCTGACACACTAGTCCATGCGCTGCTAAGAGTTGTTGATATCACTGTAGTGACAGGTAAACATTTTGAGTGCTTCCTTAAGTGTATTGTATAAAAAAATTAAGGCACAAGACCATTTTGGTGTAACATTTGGTTATTACTATATATTTGTAATCAGCTATTAAAGTATGGTATCACTTGTGATAGAGTAATACAAACTAAGAGATTCCTTTTACTTTTCCAGAGGCAGTATACAGTTATAGAGGACAGAAGCAAAGGAAAGTTATGTTAACAGTGGAACAAACCCAAGGTCAACATTACGTGCTTGTATTATGGGGTCCTGGTGCAGCTTGGTATTCTCAACTTCAAAGGAAAAAAGGTAAATACACCAAAAAGCATTTAACCTATTTATAGTTTGGTAAATTATTAATGCTTATAAGCCTAAAATGAAAAGAATTGTAAGAGATTAGATAACATTTGAAGTACAAGTGATCATGATTGAATATGCTTCTGCAAATTTCTCGTTATAATTTATAATTCTTGTAGCAATTCAGTTACTTATCTAAAAAGTCTTCTTTATTAATGGTGGCAAAATAAAGGTTTACATTTATTTCCAGGTATACTGCTTTACCTTCTTAGAGAAGATCTTATCTCCTTCAAATGATGCTCTTTAAAAATTTAATCCTGGAGAAGCTTTTACAATTTTTATGCAGCCAAAGTACTCTGATAAATAAACTTCTCTCTGGTTATAAGGCAGGTTTTAGGGGAGTTACCTTAATTCTTTCAAGTCACAGTTACTGGTCAATAAATTACTGTGTTCCAAGTTTTTGTTTCAGTTGTTTTAAAAGTGTGAACTGTAAGCTATTCATAGAATGTTCTTGTTTAAAATTTGAATCATGATTACATTTTTCTTTACGGCATAAATTAATAATTTATGTTATATTGAACTAAATAGAATTGATGTTTCATTAAAATAGTAATACCTTAATCTTATTTTGCTATTTTGAGATTCTTTAGTTGTAAGAGAGATAGCTTAATTAACAGCTTATGAGTTATTGTACTATGCTAAATTAACGTAGAGATTGATTAAGTGTATGACCCATTTTTTTTTTTACCTGAAGGAGTTAATGTGTCTTTCCAAACTTCTACCCACCAAATAGTTATCTGTAGGTAAGATCTATCACATTGTCTCTCTTAATCATTAATGGCCTACAACCAGAATGTGAGATAAGTCTGACTTTTGACTTTTATGTTAAGATCAAACAGTGACAGATATTTGTTTGGTTGAGAAATCTGACAAACATGTATTGATGGTAGACTAACCATGGTCATCGACCACCATATCCTAGCTGGGAGCATGAGTCTAGTGCATGCTAAACAAAAATGTAGTCAAAGGTACAATGGAGCTGAAGTAAAGAAGATTGTTCCATGTTTAATGTGAAAATTATTTTAATATTAATAGTCATTCTGTGGTATTTAGGTCATTATTGCAAACTTGTGAATTCAGTAATTAAGCTGTAGTTATTCTTTGTTGATTCATTCAGCATATCTTTATTTATGATCATTGTTTTTACATTTTAACATCCACTTCAGTACCTCAAGATCATTCTTTTTTAAGAGAAAAAACCAATTTTGAAGAATCACTTTAGTGATTCTGTTTTCCTGATTTTACTTTTCCTTTCGAGAGAGCCATCCCATTTCCAAAGAAAATATGATTGCCCAGACCAAATCTGATTAAAAAAAAAACTGTGACTTATCACTTCTCAACTTTTTGGCTAAGATCAAAAAACTGTGACCAGGAAGACAGGGTCACAAAATACAAATATGAAGACTTGAGCTTATTTCAGTGTGTGAGGAAACAGGTAGGGGAGTTGTTTGTGGTCTAGGTAAACACATAAAGGTGTTAACTAACTCTTTCTAAGCTAATGAGTATAAATATTTATTAGCTTAGAAAGATGTATGTGATGCATTATTTAGTTTAAAAAGTAGATTATACACGGGGCATGGTGATATGTGCCTGTAGTCCCTGCTACTCAGGAGATTGAGGCAGGAGACTCTCTTGAGTCCAGGGGTTTGAGTCCAGCCTGGGCAAGATAGCAAGACCCCCATCTCTAAAAATAAACATTTTAAACAGTAGATTTTAAAACTTCCTGTTTGGTGGGATTCTCCCCCCACCTTTTTTTTGAGACAGTGTTCTACTTTGTCATTCAGATAAGAGTACAGTGGCACGATCATGGCTCATTGCAGCCTCAAACTCCTGGGCTCAAGCAATCCTTCTACCTTAATTGCCTGACTAGCTGGGACTCAAGGTGCATGCTACTACACTCAGCTAAATTTTCTATTTTTTTGTAGAGACGAGGTCTTGCTTTGTTGCCCAGGCTGGTCTCGAACTCCTGGGTTCAAGCGATCTTACTGCCTTGGCCTCCCAAGTGCTGGGATTATAGGCTTTAGCCATTATGCCTGGCCAGTAGGATCCTCATTTTAATAAAAGTATATCTATAAGTATGTGTGTACATTTTAAAATAAAGTGGAAATAAATAAATATCTTCATACACACATATACACACACACATACACACAAACATATACATATACACCACATGCCCCTACTACTATCCTAAAATAAAATGCTGGCAGTGGTTATGTTTGTTTTTTATTTTTTCAGTTTGAATTGTATGTGTGATACTCACCTGCATTTATTTTCTAAACCTTTTTATTTTAAAAGTCTTCAAACATATACAAAATTAGAATAGTTGGTATAATGAACTTAAGTACCCATTAGACAGCTTATTAAAACATGGCCAGTCTTGTTTTATCTATTACCTCCTTTTTCTTTTACTGTCTAAATATTTCTCAATGGATTTTTTAATAATTTAAAAAGAAAATATACTTTTTCCTTTTGAAATAAGACAGAAGAGTTAGATGTTTGGAACATTTAGCCAACTTGAGAAAAAACAGAATTAAATTTATACTTCATGCGTCTTTCAAAATAAATTCTAGATGCATTAAAGATTCAAATATAAAAACAATAAAACAATGAATAGTAGAAAAATATATAGGCAAACTTATCTGGAATACAAAGATAGGTAGGTTAAAGAAAATGCGGTAATAAAACTACTCTACATAAAAACCACCATGTACAAAATTAAAAGGCAGGCAACAAATGAGAAAAAAACTGCATTTTGTCAGAAAATAATACAACTAGCAAAGGACAGATGTCTGTATACTTGATCTTAGGGATAAAAGACAAGTAGCTGTAAAGATCGATGAGTAAAGGATATGAATAGGCAAGCCCCCCCAAATAAATAAAAACGACCAATAAATATATGAGAAAATTATTTTTACTAGTAAGTGAAAACACACAAATTGATGATAGATTATTTTCCTCCTTAGAAAGTGATAGAGAAGATGTGGGAAAACAGCTACACTTATAAACTATTGGAAATGTATATTAGCAGAATTTTTCTTGAAGACAGTTGACAATGCATATGAAAATTTTGGGATACCTATGGCTCAACAATTAATTATAAATCTAGGAATTTATCATCACTTTGCATAAAGATATGCTACATATGTGTTTATCACAGTATTATTTATAATAGTAAAAAATTAAGCAACAACCAGAATAGAGGATTGCTATGATAATTTTTAAGATTTTGATATCTCTGTTCAATGGTATAATATGTAGTATTTAAAAGTAATATAGAATAATACTTAATGATATGTAAGTGTATATTTGACTTATTAAGTTATAATAAATCCAAAACAACTGTTTATACACGAAAATGTTAACTTTATTTTAGGGTGTTGAAATTATGGCTGCTATTTATTTATATAGCTTCTCTATGATTTCTAAGCATGTATTGTGTAGTGAGGCAAGGAAGCTATTTTTAAAATAGTGATTGGAGGCTGGATGTGGTGGCTCATGCCTGTAATCCCAGCACTTTGGGAGGCCAAGGTGGGAGGATTACTTGAAGCCAGGAGTTCAAGACCAGCCTGGTCAATATAGTGAGACCTCCATCTCTAAGTTAAAAAGAAAAAAAGTAGCTGGGCATGGTAGCATACGCCTGTAGTTGGAAAGCTGAGGTGGAAGGATCGCCTAAGTTCAGCAGATCTAGGCTTTGGTGTCTGTGAGTGTGCCACTGTACTCCGGCCTGGGCGACAGAGTAAGGCTTCAACTCAAAAAAAAAAAAAAAAAAATAGGGATTGGTTTTAAACAGAAACTTGGAATATATACTTTACTTGTAGTACATATATGAGCATATGTACCAGAGTATAATGTCTGTGTAGATTTACTGACTTGTTTGGGGATTCTCCACTTCCCCCAAAAAAATCTAAGAAAAGAAACTTCTAATGAAGTGGATGGGTGGAGTGAATTAGATTTATGGCCTGAAGTAAATGGGAAACTAAAAAGAGAGCTGTTATTATCAGAAAAATTAGTGCTAAGAAACCTCCTTTTGTTTTATTAAAAAGTTAAATTTACTAATATAGAATATGTTTATTTGGCAAGTGTGTTACAGTGGTTTTATGAATTGTGATTTTTAGTTGAGAGAATTAAAGAAAGACACTACTTGTCTAAATGCTTTTTTTGTTGTTCTGGAAAAGTTAGCTAAGTAAGATGACTAAGGTATTGTAATATGAATGAAATATTGGATATGGTAGACCTGTGTCCATTTCAGCGTCCTTTTTGTTTTTACAAAATATTTTTAGCCTGCAGGTCAGAGATGGAGAAATAAAATCTTTCCCTATGGATGTCAAAATGAGAATTTGCTAATGTGAAAAGCAGTTGGTTAGATCAATTATGACTTTTTAGGAGACCAAGAAATCCTTAGAAATATTTTATTAAAATTATTTCTAGCATTCTTATTGCTTTAATGAAGCATTTATATTTTCTCTTTCTACCTAAATTCATTAGTGATAAAAGTTGTATATAACTGTTTTAATCAGATCAATCTCTTTTAATCTGACTCTGAGCCTACAGTTTTTTCTTTTTGGTGACTTTTTGTTTTTATTTGTTTTTGTTTAAGATTATATTTGGGAATTTAAATATCTTTTTGTTCAGCGCAATTGCATACTGGAAAACTTAGAATTGCATACAACGCCTTGGTCATCCTGTGAGTGCCTGTTTGATGATGATTTAAGAGCAATTACATTTAAAACAAGATTTCAAAAAAGTACACTCTCCTTTGTGAAGATGTCAGACTTAGCAGCCCACCTAGAGGATAAGTGTTCAGGTAAGATCTTTATATATTTAAAATACTGTTAGTTTTAATATAAGGGAAAGTGTTACCATTTGTGGTGGAAATGTACAGTTCAATATAAAAGTGAAATATGTATCTTTGCAAAAAATAGCTGAGCCAGAGATTGGCAACTTGGTAGCTTTTTGCCTCCAATATTTTGAGGTTAATTTGTAATTATTAGAGATCACTTAAAAATTTATAGTTATCAGCAGCTTATTTGATAAACCAGAAATAGAAAAATTACCTTAACCAAAGTCACTATTGAGATGAAATCTTATGAAGTCACTAAGCTGTCATCTAGATATGGGTTGTTAATATTTAATATTGATATGGAAGCTGTGAAATTTACTTTAGTGTAATAACATACTTCGATGTCGTGACATACATCCTGAACTCAAGTATATGTGTGTGTGTGTGTATGTGTGGATATAAAATTCACACTTAGAAGCATACCACATAGAAGAATGCATTTGATGATGAATTTTACACATGTACACACTTTCCATTAATTAAATGTAATTAAAATGATTTATTTTGAGTGAAATCACAAAAGGAATACATTCTAGGCTCAAAATGCCATAGACGTTTAAATTAGTAAATACGTTTTAGAGGGGAAATAAAGGTTGAAGAAAAGGGGACATTTTTATAGGTTTATTTTGAATTTTTTTCAAAAATTTCTCTTTTATTTTATTTTATTATAGGAATGTGGGGTACAGGTGAGGATTAACTATATAAGTAGGCTGCATGCAGGTAAAGTTTGGGCTTCTATCTGGCCCTCACTTCTCCTGGTAATGAAACAATTACCCCTTGTGTTTTCACATGCTCTCCACCCTCTTCCCTCCCTCCCTCCCCTAGCAGTGCCCAATGACTGCTGATCCATCTTGTGTGCTAATGTGTCTAATGTTCAAGATCCACTTATGAGTGATAACATGTGGTATTCAGATCTTTGTTTTTGTGATAGTTTACTTAGTATGATGGTCTTCATCTCCATCTATTTTGCTGTGAAGTCCATGATTTTGTTCTTATTTATGGCTGTGTAATACTTCATTGTGTACCATGTTTTCTTTATCCAGTCTACTTTCGATAGGCAGTGGGGTTGGTTCCATGTTTTTTCTATTGTGAATGGTATGGCAATAAACATGCGTGTGCAGATGTCTTTTTGTAGAACAATTTATGTTCAGGTATATTCCCAGGAGAGGGATTACTGATCATATGGAAAGTCAATTTTTAGTTCTTTTAGGAATTGCTACACTGCTTTCCATGGAGGCTGAACTAACTTGCACTCCCACCAACAGTGTAGAAGCATTCCCTTTTTTCCACACCCATGCCAGCATCTGTTGTTTTTTGACTTATTAATGATAGATATCCTTACCAGAGTTAGGTGGTATCTTATTATAGTTTTTTTTTTTTTTTTTTTGAGTTGGAGTCTCACTCTGTCACCCAGGCTGGAGTGTAATATCACGCTCACAGCCACCCTAGTGTCGAACTCCTGGGCTCTGGCGATCCTTCCACCTCAACCTTCCGAGTAGCTGGAACTACAGGCACTTGCTACCACACCCGGCTAATTTTTTGATTTATTGTAGAGGTGAGGTCTTACCATGTTGCCCAGGCTGATCTTGAACCCGTGGGCTCAGGCAGTCCTCTCGTTTCAGCTTCCCAAAGTGCTGGGATTACAGGTTTGAGCCATCCCGCCTGGCTGCTTATTGTAGTTTTGATTTGCATTTCTCTGATGATTAGTGAGACTGAGCATTTTTTCATGTTTTTATTGGCTACTTGTATGTTGTCTTTTGAGAAGTGTGTGTTCATGTCCTTTGCTCACCTTTTAATGGGGTTGTTTGGTTTTTCCTTTCCTTTCATTTGCATTCCTTTTAGATCCTGGATGCTAGGCCTTTGTCAGATGCATAAATTGCAAATATTTTTTCCCATTGTGTGGGTTGTCTCTTTTGATAGTTTCTTTTGTGCAAAAGCTTTTCAGTTTGATGAGGTCCCACTTGTCTATCTTAGCTTTTATGGCATTCATTTTTGAGGACTTGGTCAAGAATTCCTTGCCTACTCCGATGTACATAAGAATATTTCCTACATTTTCTTCTGAATTTTTATAGTTTGAAGTTTTATATTTAGATCTTTGATCCATTTAAAGTTGATTTTTCTATAGTTAGGGTTCCAGTTTCATTCTTCTACGTGTGGTTAGCCAGTTTTCCTAGCAGCATTTGCTAAATATGGTCTCCTTTCCCCAGTGATTGTTGTTGGTGGCTTTGTCAAAGATGAGTTGGTTGAGAGACTGTGTTTTTGCTTCTAGAATCTCTGTCCTGTTCCATTGGTCTATGTGCTTATTCCCGTACCAACACCAGCCAGTTTTGGTTACTACTGTAGCCCTGTAATAAAGTTTAAAGTCTGGAAATATGATAGCTCCCACTTTGTTCCTTTTGCTAAGGATTGTTTTGGCAAAAATCATGACTTTCACAGCAACTTGGATGCAATTGGAGACTATCATACTATGTAAACTATCACAGAAGCAAAGAACTGTATACCATGTTCTTGTTTATAAGTGAACCCTGAACACTAGTTAAATTAGCACAAGGGTGAGATCAGCAATTGCTGGACACTGCTAAGGAGGGAGGGAGGAGAAGGGTGGTGGGCATGTGACAACTCAATGGGTACTTGGTCCATTACTAGGGAGAATGAAGATCAGCTAGAAGCCCAGTCGTCACCTTCATGCAGCCTACTTATGTAGCAAATTCTCACTTGTATTCCATAACTCTGTAATAAATAAATTTTTTAAAAATGTTAAAAAAAACCCAATCTGACATTCTTAATTTTTAAAAAAGATACTGTTATCACTTTAGAAATTTCAAAAGGAGCCAGAAACAAAGAATAGATATTTGTTTTTTGTTATAGCACAAAGTGGGAGCATAAACTCAGTCTCTTATTCTACCTCATCCAGATTTCAGATTAAAATTTTGCTAGTTGTGTTAATTCACATGTGTGTGTATGTATTTTTCAAGATATGATTACAGGTTAGCATTGTTACATCATAAAATGAAGCTAAATAAAATGCAAGTAGGAAACAAAGACACCTCTCAAAGAAACTTTTAATTGACTAGAGAGATTTTGTTCTTAAAGAAGAGTTCCATATTTCTAGTTCTATACCAGAATATTCATACTAAGAGTTAATTTAAGTTAATATTTCTGGAAGATAAACACAGATGATAGAAAATTTATGAACTTTTATATTGTAAAATTTTTATACCACTTTCAAAAATGAAAGTTGCTTATGGCCACAAAAGACTCCAGATTAGATACTGACTTGTGAAATCTTGGGTAATGTTGTAGTATCATATATATTCATAAGCCAGTTTCATATTTATGTCCCTTTCAGTCTCCTGCCCCTCAAACCCCACAGATCTATAGAGCTGGTTATCACAAGAAGAAATGCCATAGGCAGTAGAGAGGCTACATTGCTTCATATAGATGTTTTTAGTTTGGTTCTGTGGAGAAGTCAACTCTGTTATCTACTGCCTATATAAGACAGTTACCTACTGGAATTGAAGTCCTAGAATTATATTTAAAAATAAAAATCAGCAACATTATGGACAACAACAAAACAGGTGGCCACAGTACTAGTGATTAAAAGTTCCAGGGATACAGCCCCACTGGTTTGAGGATGAGGCTGAGAATTGGAAATGTTCTTGGAAATTCTGGAGGTACACTTTGTGCTGTTACAGTCAGTCCTTGATAGACTTTGTTCAGAGAGGTCCTTTTTCATTCTCTAGAAGCCTTTTTCATTCTCTATGTTTAGCTGTGAAGGCTGACTTCATAGTTACTATCATTGTTTATGTGTTTTAAAGACAAAAATGGAGAGAGAGAGAATGGAAATATAATATTTTTTTCTAACTTATTTCACAGTAAAATAAAAGGAGGGAGAAAGGGAATCAACATGGGATAATTTCCTAGGAGGGTCTGCCTGCTTAACAAGACCCACAGGGGAATGAGGCTGTGTCTGAAATAAAGAGGCTCACTTGTAAAGAAATAAAGATGCTCATTCAGGATCTCAACTTACCACCAATAGGATTTCAGTGCTCAGTAGGCTCTAAGCCCCTTGAAAGCAAGGTTCACATTCGTAATGACCTTTTAATTCTCTTAAAGAGGCTTGTAAACTTACAGAATGATAGGGTTATGTTAACATCATTGAATTACTTTATTAAATATTTTTAAGTGATTAACATGTCTATAGAAAAGTGTGTTGAATCTGCTATAATTTATTAGATATGTGTCACTACTCACTCTGCTTACTCATGTAGTGATATATAATATGATTGGAAGAGATGATGAAACCATCTTTGGACGCTGAAAGTTTAAAGCAAATGGAAGAACCGGGTCACCATTAGCTGGACTCTGAAAGTGATAACCAGAAAAGAGAATAGGAAACCAGAATGATGAGTTCTTGACCTGGAGTGTTGTGACTTCTAAAATTATGAAGGATAACAAATTTGAAGGTTTAACGAAGCGTTTAGATAGAATATGGAGAAGAGAGAATAATGCTCAGATAAACTCACAGACTGCCATCGTACACAGTAAGACAAAGATAAGTTAGAAAAAAAAGAACTTCTGGCAGATAATAGCTATTTGGTATTTGTTTACTAGATGAATGAAGGAACCATTAGTAGTTAACGAGTATTCTGGAGGATTCTGGTGAGTTACCTGAGAAATGTTTAATAAATGAGGACTTTAGTGCTCATATGACTGTGTAACCCACACTCAGAGTATGGATGATGATGGGCAGGAAGTTGGAAAAATATTGAAAAAGAGGATATGCTCTTAGTATATTATTTTTTAGTAAAGAAGAAGAAAAACCTTCTATTTTGTTTTTGACTGTGATTAATTAAAAAGATAGGCTGGGCGTGGTGGTTCAAACATGTAATCCTAGCACTTTGGGAGGCTGAAGTGAGGAGACTGCGTGAGCTCACGGATTCGAGAAGAGCCTAAGCAACTCAGAAAGACCTCATCTCTACAATAAATCAAAAAATTAGCCAGGTGTGGTAGCGTGTACCTATTGTTCCAGCTACTTGGAAGGCTGAGACGGAAGGCTCGCCTGAGCTCAGCAGGTCGACATTGGAGTGGGCTGTGAGAGTGCCACTGCACTCCAGCCTGGGTGACAGCATGAGACTCCAACAAAAAAAAAAAAAAAAAAAGGAAAAAAGGAAGACAGACAAAGAGAGAAGGCGTGTTAGCTAGTTTCAAGTAATTGAAGGGATTTCCTCTAAAAGAGATATTAAACTTACTTTGCATGACTCCAGAGGATGAAGAAGAAGAAAATACCCACCTGTTCAGCCAGATTAGCCAAATAAGCCTTCACTCAGTGACGGGCAGAAAACCACTTAGATTTTAGAGTAAATGCTAAAGCCATACGTGAGTGAGATTGTCTAGGAAAAAAGTGAAGGAGAGAAGACCAAGAACAAGACCTTGGAGTTTCCTTTACTATAAATGGCTGTAAGCCAACTGTATGATTAGCAGTGTTTGTAAAATTGAGATTATAATTTTGGTCTAATAAATTGTAATATTTCTGTTTGTCTTTTATAGGAATGGTTCTAATTAAAGCCCAGATTTTAGAGCTGACATTTCTTACTACAACAGCTCAGAAGGTAGCTCTAAATGCCCACAGTTCTCTGAAGAGTATTTTATCTTCTCTTTCCAACCTTATATATACTGGCTGTGCAAAATGTGGATTGGAACTAGAAACAGATGAGAACAAGATCTACAAACAATGTTTTCGCTGCTTGCCATTTACTATGAAGAAAACATATTATAGGTAAGGCAGTTAAGCAAGACAATTTGATGGAAAGTATCTACTATTATAGTACTAGAAATGACTAAAAAATTGAATCTATCAGCTCTTACTTTCTAACAAGAACTAACTAGAGCTAATTCAAGAGAATTAAAGTCTCCCCAATAAATAACTAGCTATTTATAAAAGCAAAAATTGCCTAGGAGTTATAACAGGAATTCTTAAAAGCAGTAATTGGGATATTTTATTATCTTCAAACTGCTGTACTGAGGAAAATTTTTACTTAGTTTATGTGATCTTTCTTTCTTTCTTTTTTTTTTTTTAAAGTGAGAAAGCAGGATTTATTGAGAGGACAGAAAAACTCCCTCAGTGGGAGGGGACCATAAAGTGTTGCCCTCTTTTTTTCTTTTTAAATGTTTTTTTTCTTTTTAAATGTGTGGTACAATTCAGGGTTAGGTATACAAATGATCATTATACAGGTACTCTTGTTGATGAGGTATGCCCCCCTTCCCTGGCAGTTTCCCACTCTTATAGTATTATGATAATTGTTCAGGGTCTTATAGTATTATGATATTTGTTCAGGGTCTGCTTATGAGTGACAACATGTGGTACTCAGTTCTTTGTTTCTATGATAGATCATTCAGTATATAGACTCTAAGTCCATCCAAGTTGCTGCAAATATCATAATTTTGTCCTTCTTTATGGCTGTGTAAATATTCCATTGTATATATATACCATGGTTTATGTTTTCAACCAAGATCTAAATGACTCATAAATAACTTATTTTCCAACCTTAACATATAATTAGAATTTAAAGGTTGAAAGTGTTATATGATCTTGCCTCTGAGTTGTTGTGGATGCTTGTTAAAACATTTAACCTATTTTCCCACCTTTACCTTAGAAATTAAAGATAGCAAATAAATGTTCTATGGAAAAATTGCTAACTAGCTTAACAAAAACCTGTTGTTTTCAAGTAATAAATGTTCAGAGTTTTGGATAATCTTTTTCTTTTTGCCTTATTACATGTCTTTACAAAATAGCACTCAGTGTTTTATGCTCTTTCCTATTTTTCTAAATACAGCAGTATTTAAAAATGCAGATATATTCAGAATGTTTTCATGGTATACTTCAAGAAAACTTACAGAAGCTGAGTTCATAAACCTTACTTCCTGTTTGTTATGAATAAGTGAATGAAGTTTGCTATTACTTTGAAAGTTGCTTTTGTGAAAAGGAAGACTGAATGAAGATGCATGGTATATAAAAAACAATTAAAATGTATCAATAGGTAAGGCCCTTCAAAAGTATTTATAGGCATCTTAAATTATTCTAAATGTTTCTATGCTATATAATTACTTATTGGACAAAAATGTTGCCCAGTAATATCTCTTCTGGAAAGGAGGGCCTTTGAATCTTCAGTCTACAAAATGACTGTTCACATATGATTTTATCACTAGATGCAGAAAAACCTTTTGATAAATACCAGCATCCTTTCTTGATAACACTCTCAAACACCTAGGTATAGAAGGAACATATCTCAAAATAGTAAGTGCCATTTACGATAAACCCAAGCTAACATATTGCTAAGTAGACAGAAACTGGAAACATTTCCCCTAAAAACTGGAACAAGACAGGACTGCTGACTCTCACCCCTCTTGTTCAACATTGTATTGGAAGTCCTCGCTTGGGCAACTGGACAAGAGAAGGAAATCAGGGGTATCCAAATAGGAAAAGAGGAAGTCAAGTTATCCTATCCCTCTTTGCTGATGATATGATCCTATACCTTGAAAATCCAAGAGAATCTGTCAGAAATCTGCTTGCACTGATAAAGGACTTTGGCAAAGTCTCAGGGTACAAAATAAATGTACAAAAGACAGTTACTTTCCTATATACCAACAACAAGCAGGCAGAGACCCCAATTAAAAGCACAATCCCATTCACAATAGCCACCAAAAAAATGAAATAACTCGGCATCTTCCTAACCAGAGAAGTGAAAGACCTTTACAATGAGAACTACAAAACACTGCTCAAAGAAATCCTAGAAGACACAAACAATATTTCATGCTCATGGATAGGAAGAATCAACATTGTTAAGATGCCCGTCCTACCAAAGGCAATCTACAGATTCAACGCAATACCCATTAAATTACCAAGACCATTCTTCTCAGACCTGGAAATGACATTACAGAAATTCATTTGGAAACATAAATGACCACGAATAGCCAAAACAATCCTTAGCAAAAGAGACAAAGCAGGAGGTATCACACGTATAGACTTCAAACTTTACTGTAAGGCCACAGTAATCAAAACAGCCTGTTATTGGTACAAGAACAGACACATAGACCAATGGAGCAGGATAGAGATTCTAGAAGCAAAGCCTCAATTTCTCAACCAAGTCATCTTTGACAAAACCTCCAACAACAATCACTGGGGAGAGGAGAACCTTTTCAGTAAATGGTGCTGGGAAAACTGGCTGATCACATGCAGAAGATTGAAACAGGACTCCTACCTATCACTATACACAAAAATTAACTCTAAATGGATCAAAGACCTAAACGTAAACCTCAAACTAAGAATCTTAGAAAATGCAGGAGACACCCTTATGGAAATTGGAATTGGCAACCAATTCCTGATCAAAACCCTAAATGTCCATACCTTAAGAAATAAGATAGACAAGTGAGACCTCATCAAACTAATGAGCTTCTTCAAAGCAAAAGAAACCATCAAGAGAGCAGGGAGACAGCCCACAGAATGGGAAAAAAATATTTGCCAACTGTATATCTGACAAAGGCCTAACATCTGGGACCTACAAGGAACTCAAATGCACCAAACAGAAAAAAAACAAGCCGGGCTTGGTGGCTCAGCCTGTAATCCCGTGCCTTTGAAAGGCTGAGGTGAGTGGATTGCCTGAGCCTGTGGGTTCGAGACCTGCCTGGGCAACTTGGCAAGACCTCATCTCTACAATAAGTCAAAAATTAGCCGGGCATGGTAGCGCGTGCCTGTAATTCCGGTTACTCAGAGGGCTGAGGCAGAAGGATCGCCGGAGCCCAGCAGGTCGAGGCTGTGGTGGCTGGGAGTAGCCACTGCACTTCAGTCTGGGCGACAGAGTGAGACTCAAACTCAGAAAAAAAAAAGAAAAAGAAAAAAAACAAGCAGCCCCATTAAAAAGTGGGCAAGCCAGGCTTGGTGGCTCAGCCTGTAATCCTGCACTTTGGGATGCTGAGGTGAGTGGATTGCCTGAGCCAGCGGGTTTGAGAACCCCCTGGGCAACTTGGCGAGACCTCATCTCTACAATAAATAAAAAAATCAGCCAGGCGTGGTAGCGCATACCTGTAATTCCAGCTACTCAGAAGGCTGAGG